AAATATAAAAACAAGAAATAAATTATATACATATATATATATATATATATATATATATATATGAGATAAAATAAAGACAATAAAAGAAAAATATAAAAACAATAAAAAACACAGGGGGCAGCCACATATTACATAAAGTGCAAATGAAACAGGTAGGTTCTTAGCAGCTTCTTAAAACTTTCAACTGAGTCAGTTGAAACTCTGATAGAAGCTGAAATGGAGTTAAATAGTCAAATGAAGTGAAATTGATTAGTGACTGTTTTCAGAACATTTGACCAAAGTCTGTGTGTTAGTGTTTGTGTGTGCTGGTCTGGGGGCAGATGATGCGTACGTTACTGTTGCATCTGATCTGGTGTCAGCTGGCTGCAGTTCAGTGTTGTCCTGATGATGCATCAGAGGGTGTAGTACCAGTTTGAATCATCGACCTGTGGAAATTGTTTGCATTAACTTTCAAGGCTTCGTTTACTTCCACTGCTGCAGGAAAGATGGAAGTTCACCAAAACCTTTGATTGAGATAAACCATGTTCTTATGTTTGCGTTCAGGTACCTGCCTCCCTCTTCCTGTTTTGCGCCTCCTGGTCTCACCGATGCGGCTGGTCTCGGCAGCGGTCTGGCAGACCATCCAGCAGAAAGTTGTGGCCGATTATGGGATGCTTGAGGAGTTTGTTTCCGTGGTTACAGACATTGTCCCAGAGCTGCTCACCACCCACCAGAGGGCCCAACTGATCCTGGGCCTCAGAGCACGGGTGAGAGGGAGAAGCAGTCAGTTATTAACCACCAATAATTGCCATATAATAACTGCTGCAACATTGATTTTGTGGTTTATAAATAGAAATGAGGTAATGCTACGCTACAGAGCTAATAGATGAAAACTTGTGGTTTGTGGTTTCAGCTGATCCTGGACTTGTGTCGGTTTGAAGCTTCTGCTGACTGTGAGATCGTGCGGCCACACCTGGACAGGATGCAGACCCTTATCGAGGGGTGGGTGACAGAGGTGAGTTTAGATTAAAAATAAGCAGTTATTGGAAATTAGATGTCTCTTTTTTGGATGATCCCTGTAATTTGCTCGTTACCATGTCTGTAAAGTTTTGTGATGTTCGTGTCGTGTCTCACAGGCTGGTGCTACAGACATGGAGGCGCCAAACTCTGACTTTGTGGATCTTGTTAAGAACATGCTGTCAAATCCTGAAAACAGGGAAAACTTCTTTCAGGTCAGTGTCATTGTTTCAACAAACATATTAAAGATCTATTTTCTGGTAGTTTCATCATGTAGAAAGTGTCGTCAGCCACTGGAGAAGTCAGACATTTAGACATTTAAATTGAATCTGAGTCTTGAATCTTAAATCTTGTGTTTCTGATTCGTAAATGAATTTTTTTTGTATGTTTTTGTAAAAACTAAATATAAAACACTTGCTGTTGCTGTCTCTCAGAAAGTTTTCCCTGAAGAGTTTGGTCCCACGTTTGATGAAGCTCTTCACTCCTTGATGTGGCTGCTTCTGTCCAGACTTGAAAAGTTTCTTCCTCTTCAAACATTCCAGCAGGTTCATGACACAAACATAATTCTGATCTCACTTCACGCTCTGAATATTACTGTCCTATAAACGTACAGTTCTTCTTCATTTTCCTCAGGTTGCCTCCGTGTTGGGTGATGCGTCCTCTGTTCTGGAGGAGTGTATGGAGTCTGTGTCGCAGTGTGAGGAGCTCAGAATAACGCTGCAGCATCAAAAATACCTCAGCCAGCAGGATCACAATGGCAAGTTCTTATAGTGTCTAACACCATTTTTTCACATGTTTACATCTCAACATTGAACTTCCTGAGAGAACAACGCCACTCGATCTGTAATATATCTTTGCTTTGGTTTTGGGATTTATCATTGGTCCATTAGGGGTGTCATAACAAATCATGGAGTAGCCTGATGAGTGATTTGTTCTGTTTGTTGTCGATCTGCAGCTGTTTGCCTTTTATAGATAAGATTGAATACATATGGACTCTTGACCAAAACAGTTTCTGTACCAGGCTGTAAACATGTTGATTTCTGCTGTAAAGTTGGACATTTTAACATGGGAGTCTATGGGGACTGACTCACTGTTGGAGCATGACTCTAGTGGTCGTTAGAGGAACTGCAGGTTCTGGTTCTTCACTGTTGATGCTTCATGTTTCAGAATCGGAGGCTGATGATTGATTTAGACAAGTGAAAGTTTTCACTGAGTCTGATTGATGTGTTCCTGATGTCTGTTAACTTCTCCATCAGCTTGTAAAGAGTTCATGTTGCAGGTGTTGACAATTGAAAGTTTTGTGTTTCTCACTCTTGTATCACAACATGTGTTTCTCTTTTCAGATGGTTCCTTGGACGGTGCCGGCATCATTTCAGCTCTAAAGCTTCCCTCTGTAAAAACAACTGAGACACTAAAAACAGAAGCACAAGACAAGATCCTGGATCAGGAGCCTTCAACACTGAGTCATGCAAAACAACCTGACGCATTAGCAGAGCATCAGACACGTGAGATGAACACTGACAGAACTAATTGGATTCCTGAGGAAAGTGGAACAGCAGTGGTTTCTAGAGATATTACAAGACACGAGGAAAATGTAGGTCTCCTTCAGAGTCAAGCAGAAGACGCATGTCGGCTTCTAAAGCAGTGCTGCGTTCAGCTCAAGAGACTTGACGTGCCGCTGTCTCTGCAGTCTCGACCTGTGAGACGAAACAGAGGCCTGAAGATGAAACAGATTCTGCAGAGAGAGAAGAGGGCAGTTCGTGAAGAGGCTGTTGCCGCCGGCAGACCTGCTTCTAGGAAAACCAAACCGCTCCGCAGGGCTCCCCCAGGGTTCTCTGATAATGAGGAGTCAAGCAGCTTCAGAGAGGACTCGTACATGGCTCCTCTCAGTATCTGCAGTGAAGACGATTCGTGGTCTTACTACTCAGATGAGGACTCTTGCCATAGGTCGACTAGTAGCAGTCCCAGTGTGGCGGATTCGTGGTCTAACTACTCAGGTGATGCCTCTTCCTTGGTGACTCCTGTCAGCAGTTCAGCTGAACATGATTCATTGTCTAGCTGCTCAAATGAGGATCCCCCCTTCACAGGTCCCAGTATTTTATCAGCTCCAAGCAGAAAGCTGAGCACATCTGATGTCAAAGCCGGCACTCTAAAAAAAAAAAAAATGTACTGCTTTATCTGCAAAGAGCATGTGAACACGAGCCTGAGAACTCACATGAAAACCCACTTTCCCACCGGGGACTACGCCTGCCCTCGATGTGACAGCAGGTTTAAACTCTTCACGTCCTTTAAGATGCACCTGCGCAGAACGTGTTTCGAGTACGGAAAGCAGCAGGTGGATCCCGAGAAGCCGGACGAAGCCAAAAACCTTTACAAATGCGACGGATGCCAAGAGGCGTTCAGGTACAAAATTTCACTGGACAGACACAAACTGACCCACAACGACCTGTACTGCAGCGTGTGCAGGAAGGTGTTGCGGGACACGGCGGCGTTGGCGCGGCACAAGGCCTCACACACCCTGTTTCAGTGCACCCGCTGCGAGGAGACCTTCACTCTCTTCATGCCTTTACTCAGACACTGTGAGAACATCCATAAAATCGGCCGACCGTTCAAATGCAACCACTGTCCCAAAACGTTACCCAAGCTCCGCTTCTTAATCCTGCACGAGTGGACGCACACGGGTCACCTGCCCTTCCAGTGCACGCTGTGCAGCTGCAGGTTCAAATCCGACGCAGATCTCATTTACCACGAGAGGGTCCACACGAAGGAGAAACCCTACCTGTGTTCAGAGTGCGGCAAGACCTTCTCCCAGAATTCCAACCTGCTGCGGCACCTGAACCTCATCCACGGCGAGTTTCGAAACGAGAAGAAGCATTCGTGCTCTCAGTGTGAGAAATCCTTCAAAGAGAAAGGAGCCCTGAAGAAACACCAAAGGAGCAAACACCTGAACGAGCTCTTCCGCCATCCGTGCCCCTACTGCGGGAAGATGGTCTCCGCGACAACGCTCGCCAGACATATATTAATCCATACCGGACAGAGACCGTTCAAATGCACCGTGCCTGAGTGTGACAAGTACTTCAGGTCGACTTCTGAAGTGAAGAAGCACGTCCTCATACAACATACCACAGAGAGACCGTACAAATGTGATGTCTGTGGGAAGGGCTTCATAAAAATGTGTTTCCTCAACTCACACGCTAAAATACACTCAGGAGAAAAACCGTTTGTTTGTCATATCTGCGGAAAGGCTTTCCTCAAACTCTACAGCATGCAGAGACACAAAAATCTGGTACATACATTTGTGACACACTAACATCACATGGTGGGTGTGCTATGCTAAGAAAATCACTTTTCAACCTACAGAGGTTTTGCTGAACCAGTGACTGCCTTCAAATGTTTTATATATAACTGAATTAAAAGATAACTTTGCACTCTTCTAACATTGACCGACAGTTTTTTTTAAACCAAATCAAAATCGTTGCAGCAGAACTACAGATATTGTATGTATTATTTAACACATTTGTCTTCATGTTAAAACTTAGTGCCTTCATTACCCACAGTTGAACTTGGCAATTTGTGTAGTTTATCACCAGCTGCCACGGCGTGTCTGGTATTGTTTCTCCTGGAGACACCTACTCTAGCGGGAACTAGCACAACGGACGTGTTGATTATTTCAAACCTTTGTAACCGTGTAAGATACACTCATGAAACTTTACAGGTGTGAAGTTGAGATCAAACCTCTTTAGCCTGCTGCTCGTCTCTGAGCGACCAATAGCATAACACAGTTGCGTCGCATCATCATACGTAATGGAGGTAGAATGTGGGAAATAAATAAAAGTGATATTTGTGGTTCTCCTGCATTCATTTTGATCATTTTAAAACTGTAAACTCAACTCTGTTTACAGAAAAATTGAGTACTTCTTGGGAACCTTCACTGCAGCAGAAATGTTTTTGAGCCAAGACACAATCCTGTCTCTGAGCTCTGCAGCAGCTCCTTCCTCCTCATGGTTTCTGCTCTGATCTGTATTGTCAGCTGAGAGACCTTGTATAGACAGGTGTGTGTCCAATCAGCTGAGTTTACCACAGGGGGACTCCAGTCACGGTGTAGAACCCTTTCAGAGATGATCCAGGGAAATGGAGGAACCAGAGCTAAACTTCAAGAGTCAGAGCAAAGTGTCTGAATACTTATATCAATGTCATATTTCAGTTTTTACTCTTTAATAAATGTACATTTTTTGTCAATTTCTCAGGAGATATTGTCTGGATCTTGATGTAAAAAATCTGACATTTGCCATTTATTTATTATTAGTATCATTATTCTTTGAGACATAAAATGCGTATCTTATTAATTTCATTGTTAATGTCTTATGTTCTTTTGAGATTGAGGATTAACATATAGTGAGACAGTATGTAATTGAGCCTGTACATCAAACACATGACTGTGGGATGTTTTGCTGTTTTAATTTGGTATGTGATTTTTGATACTAATGGTTAACACTGCAGGACTCTTTACAGCGATAAATAGCTGAGGTTAATCAGGACTAGAAAGAGGAAAATTATTACCAGAATAAAGCTAGACTCTTAGTTATTTTGATTAATGAACAAATAATTGTATGAAATAATTATGGTGTAATAATATAATAAGGTGTAAAACTTAAATATATTTTTATTTAAATATAGCAGATGTACATTATGTGACAGATGTGTAGGGAGCAAGAGGAACACCAAAGACGATTATGCGGAACTAAAGAAACCTCTGTGCCAGTCGTCGGATTGTTATTCCGGACGGAACGCGATGTGCCGTTGACGCACAAAGATCGGATGTGTTGCTTCGGTCTCTTGACTCAGCCAGCGTAAAATTATTTAGTGTGTTTTGACTTCGGTCGAGCGACAGACATTATTTCCCCCTGAGTGTGATGTGGCTGCGCTGACTCAGGATGGACGGAGGTATCACCGAGTTACCGGGTGAGTGTTTACGGTCACAGAGCCATTTGTTTGGCTAGGCCGCAACGCAGCCCGCGCGCGGGAATAGCATTGCTAACTTTCAGCGGTTTAACAACAGTTTATCGAGAGTTTACCATCTATTGCGTTTAAATCGAATTTAGGCTGCCACTGGCGTCCCTTGGTTCACCCTGTAATTGAAACGAGGAGCTTGGTTTCTAGCTTTATTCATTAAGTAGCAGTTTGGGGGTTCGTGCTAATGCTAAGTGTCGGTTCTGCCATCTTGGCTAACGCTAGCTTCTTCAGGGTAACAGTTGAAGTGTTTGTGATGTCTGCGACAGCCCTCAAACATCGGTCTGATCACATATGTGTATGGTGTGTGTTTGTAACCTTATTAACATGTGTGTGGAGCATGTTGTCTTGATACATGTGCGTATTGACATGTAATATTAGGTCTATCTTTGCTAACGGAAATGAAAGTAGACATCCGTATCAACCAGAGTTAGTGTTCTTGCAGAGTTCTCAGTCTGAGATCATAGATTTGTCATCAGTTTATAGATTTGTGATGCTGGGGCATCAAAGACAGGGAAACAAGGTCACGCATTAAACTCAAATATTGCTTGGCTCCAGCAGCCGAACAAGATGCTAATGTTGGGGTTTGACTTTACATATTTTCACTCTGGATAAACAAATTCTGCTTTTGAACATCTGAAATATCCGCATTGCAGATGCAGTTGAGGTATGAGTTGTTGAAAGTTAAATGTCTCCCCTGTTTGTGCCTCTGGTGTTATTACATCTGAGTCACTGAGCTAACACTAACCACCTGACAGTTTTTAGGAAAGCACAGAAGGCCATGTAAAGGATCAGATCACCCCTGCTTTTATATCTTGGTATCTACACATGCAGATGCTTTTGGTTTTGCTTGCCTAGGTTTTGAGACACCCCCCCTCTGACATGTAATTGAAAATTAAGGTGTTTTTTTGTGGTACTCAGAGCATTGAAAAATAAACAACACATCTGTCCTGAAATTGGCATGGGAGCCAAAAGAAATACTGTGTTCCAAAGCTACAAACAATTTTGTGTTACTGTCATCCTTTCAAACATGTTAGTTTATAATATATTCCCCTGTTTACAGGTCCCTCTCTTCCCCTCTCCACTCTGCGCCTCCTCATCCCACCGATTCGGCTGGTCTCTGCAGCAATCTGGCAAACAGTGGAGCAGAAAATTGTGTCGGATTATGGGCTACTCGAGGAGTTTGTATTCATGGTCACAGACATTGTTCCTCAACTGCTGTCGACGAGGCAGCGAGCTGAACTAATTTTGGGCTTACGAGCACGGGTAAGAGAGAGTTGTGGTTCTTGATTTTCCTTAAATGTAAACACTGGCTTCGGTTTGGTGCCTGGTCTGAGCTGCAGTCAGCCACAGGACTAATGTACAGATGTGGGAAAGGCCCTTGGCATTCATGTGTAAAGATGGGGTTGAATCTTCACATGTCAGGGTTGTCTGTCTTGTGTTCTGCTCAGAGCTATCATACATATCTTACATTTAAAAAATGTAAATGTTGACCATAAAACAATCTAGACTCTGTGAATGGGACCAGAAAAAACAGATAATCGGATTTTCTTAGAATCACTTATTGATTATCGCCGCTGTCGTCTGATTGTAGCTGATCCTGGAGCTGTGTCGCGCTGAGGATACCGCTGACCTCCAGATCATTCAGCCACATCTCGACAGAATGCAGAACCTCAGATCTTTGTGGAACGTGGAGGTGGGTCTGAACCTGCACTCAACAAAATGAAATATCTGGAGGGTTTTTTGTAGTTGGGTTTTTACAGTTGTTCACATCCGTCATTTTGACCAGTAGTGATCCAAATAACTGCTTTTAGTGTGTAGGTTTTCATCATTGCACCATCTTTAATTGCAGGCTGATAATGCAGAACAAGAAGTGTCTGACACACATTTTATGCGCCTTGTCCAAAATCTGCTGAGAGATCCTGAAGAGAGACGGAACTTTTTCCAGGTATCTTTTGGTTGTTTACTTTTGTGCACACAGATTTTTTTTATCCATTGTTTTATGATGTGCTCTCCTTTACCCTTATTTTGAAAATGTGTGATTTGTATGGACGGCTCAGATCTGAGATTTATCGGACTCTTTGTGCTTCAGGATGTTTTTCCAGGAGACTTTGGCCCCACATACGACAAAGCAATCCAGACACTGATGTGGCTGTTTCTGTCGAGACTTGAAAAGCTTATTCCCACCCAAACTCTGCAACAGGTGCACTTAATATATCTCTATTTTTCTGTGCTTTATTCTGCTACACTAAATACTGATGCAGGAACAATTCCTCCATGTCAGTTCTGAATTTCAGTCTCAGTTGCTTTTGTTTTTTCAAAATCCACGTCTCTATAAGTTGTAACACAGTCTTTCATCGCAGTGTTTCAAAAAAACATCAGATGTATTTTGTGTTGCTTCATATCTATAAGAAAAAAGGAATGTCACCTAACATTGGGGAAGTACGGTGCTGTTGCCTCACACTAGCTGCCATTTTGTCTTTGTCAGATCGCATCTTTGCTCAGCAACGCTTCGTCTGTCCTGAGTGAATGTATGGAGACGTTTGATCAACCTCAGGAGCTCAAGACTCTGCTGGACACTCAGAAAGACCTCAGTCAGTTGGAAGACATTGGTGAGTAGTTCAGAATTACAAAAAATGAATATAATAGATGGGTAAAGAACCAAAACACGATTGCATAGTCACATACCATTGTGTTGTCATTCAGCAAAAGTGTTTCAGTTTCAGCATTTGCAGATGATGTTATCAATAACCCTAACCTGTCCACAACCAGAAGAAGATAACTATAAATATGTCGTTTTCATCTAAATTAAAGCTGAATTCACAGAAAGTCATGTTCTTAAAATAAAATAAATAACTAATGTATGAACTGCAGCATTCAGGAATACGAAGGTGTGTTTGTTCCATAAATAAATACCATACTAAACAGCATCTTGTACCACGTCTGTGCGTTGCAGCAGCTGCTTTTCAACTGTTTTCTAATTCTTATATTTATTATATTATTACTAACAATAATGTTAAATAAAAGTTAACTCAAGAGCTTTATCAGTGTTGTATCTGCTGTTTCTGCTGCCTCTTTAATGTAAGCTAACTGAAGCTACAGGAAACACTTTCAGGTGCAGCTTAACGATCAAACAATCAAAACTACAGGATGTTAGCGGTCGTCAGATGGTTGTCTCTCTTGGTGTCGACGGCCCTTCACAATAGTTGTGAACATATTCTGTAGTTTCTTCTTCATCTGAATTGGTTTTATTTGTTGGTTTAACAGCTCCTCTGTTCTCGTTTCTTTTCAGAATCATACGTTGTTGACAGTGGCATCCTGTCGGCCCTGTGTCTTCCTCCTGTGGAGAGAGTTGTGATTGTCAATGAACAGA